ATCAACAAAAGTCAAACACCGTTCAAGAAACAAATACCGTTCAAGATAAACCGCTTACTTACCAAGCGGATTCCTAAACCGCACACTTACCTCACGATTGGTTAACCGGTCAAAATCCAATCAAGATATTAAACCGCTTACCATCTCAAGTGTTATCCGGTTTATTATTAATCCGCACAAGCTATGTCCGGTAACTAGCCGGATTAATAAACCGTTCAAGCAATYCTTCCAAGTGTTGTCCGGTTTTACCTATATTCAAAAACAACTAACACCACACGGATTGTTATACCGTACAAGTCTTATCCGGATAAAAATCAACCAAAAACATAAAATTTCACACTTTTTCCAAAAAAATGGATCAAAACATGAAAAAATATGAGTTTTTATAAACTTTTTCCMGAAAAACTAAAACTCGATTTTGGTCATTTTCAGCATCAAAACTTGTAAAAATCACAAAATGGTGTGAATCAAAGTTGTATAGAATGCAAAACCGAAACTGGCGATGTAAATCTTGATTAATAACACCCAAAAATGTGCAATTTATGACCCAAAAACCAATCTGGTAAAAAAATTCTCAAGAACAGCCAAGAACAGTGATGAACAAAGATGAATCAGATCGAAAAATTAACAAAAAATTCGTGCAAAATGTGTAAAATGGATATCTTCAAATCCAAACTGATGCAGCTTGCTTTGATACCAATTGAAAAGTCCAGATTTCATACAAATCTTGAAGTAATCTTCATCAAATCTCAAGAACAAAGATGAATGTAAGATAGATTGGAGAGAGAGAATTACTTTGCTGTCAAGTTACCTTTTTCTGATTAATGATGTAATCAATGTGTAATTACAATTACAAAGAAAAGACTATTTATACTAAGGAAATAAAACTAAGCTAATTACAATTAAGCTAAGTAAATGGAGAAACTTGAATACAACACTTTAGCTCTAATCTTGAACCCAACATGTTGAATTGTTGTGAGTGTTATATATTGATCATGTTGCCTAAAAAGTACAAGTACTTGTCTGGAAGTGAGAAAAGGAAAAAAAGTAAGTTAGTTGAACAATTGAAACA